TGGGGGTGGGCGGTCCGGGGCTCTGCTAACACTCGGCTGCTAGGGGCTCAAAGGCCCAAATACTCAGCCCCTCCGACTCCCTGGATTCACCGGAGTCTCCTTGGTCACACAAGAGAGGACCAACAATGCCCACCTCCGCAGGTCTTTGCTTCCACCACAAAGGGGTGCCACTGATTCACCCTGGAAGCCCTTCAGTCAAACACGGGGAAACTGCTGTTAACAGTTCCGGCCTAGACCCGTGGGGGGAGTGAAGGAAGACTCAGGCTTACCTATAACCATAACCTCCCTGAGTCTTGCCTGCCAGACAAAAAAAGGTTGCAGGAACTCCTTTCCCGCCTGTCTTCTCTATCTTCCTCTTAGCAAGGTCGCCAGCTGGGTTATTATATCTGCACCCCAGCAATGCAGTTCAGTGGGTGTATTATATATTGTTTGTAGCCAGAAATGTATGCTCATAGAGAAATATCATAAATGGAGGCACACTCAAACACAGTAATAAAATGTGTGGATTTACTGATGCAAATTACATGAACACACACACAATCACAAGTAATACATGAATATGGAATATGGATAATGAATCTGGAGATCGTCAGCCTCTTCTTCCACGACCTCCAACACTCCTTCAACTGGGCAGGAAGACAGGAGTCTCACACTCTCACAGGAGGGCCTCTTCACCACGTCGGCGCCTCTTCTTCACTGTCCTGCCATCCATACACACTGTCCTCTCTGACAGTCCTGGACACAAGCTGCCTTGCAGCCTATTCTACTATTAAAGTAATCAAGTCTTACTGCCACATACACAAGTAAATATTGTGGCCTAACTAGCCTACTCATACAAGGGGTAATGGGAGGGAAAATGATCGACCTTACATTCCTGGCTCACGACGCCTGTCCCTCGATGGTGTGAGGTTCCCACGCTTCCTTGGGTCGATCCTTGACGATCCAGGACGTTCCACAGGTCCTCAGGTGTCGTGGAGCCTTCGCGTCGTCGCCGTTTCATTCCCTGAGATTCAACTGCCCCAATCCTGGTTCATTGATGGGCGCTGAGCTAGTCACTATTTTTCCCCACACTCGCCTCTCCCACAAGGCGTTGCTAATTGTCCTAGGCACGGTGTCGTCCTTCCAAGATTCTCAGTGGGTGCGACCCCAGTCACAGCTAGGCCTGCCCGCCCACCTTCCAGACCTCAACGTCCAACCAGCGGCGCCGCCCAGCGTCGTCGCCGACTATTTTCCAAGTTTGGCACTTCTCTGCTCACTGAACTTGGTTCCTCTTTTGCTTCCCAGAAGCGCAGGGTCTCCAATAACTATGATGGGCTGCGATGGCCAGCTCAATCCACTGAACAAGGCTTGCAGAGCCTCCAATCCTTGAGAGCAGACCGAGGCGCGTCCTGTCGCTTCCAAGGTCAGAACAACTCTCTCGATGGCGCCGCCCGGGACACTCGGTGACGTCATGGCGGGCCCTGATTTGTCGCCCGCGACCTACGTCGACCAATCCGCGATCGACTAATGTCCCTTCCAAAAGGTCATATCTGCCGTAGGGGATACTGCTTCATTTTATAACAGGGCGCCAATTTTCCTTTATTTACAACTTATAATAACACAAATCACAAATTACAAATTACAAAGTCACAAAAGTACAAAATTACAAAGACATAAGATACCGGACTGAAGGGCCAACAACAAAAACAACAAAAAGCACATACAAAATGCAATACAGTACAAAAATAACAACAGAACAATACACAGTACCCAAACTCTCACCCAACCTTCGAAACTACACAAAACAAGCCTACCGGCCCTGGAAATCACACACGGAGAGGTACCGAAATCACACACGGAGAGGTACCAGTACATAATGACAATAAGAAGAAAGGAAACATAAAAATATAACACATAAACAAAAGGAAATTAACATCGGCAATTGATGATACTGGGAACAAAAACAGACATGGCCACACAAGCAGCCCGAAGGGCACGGAACCACTCCAAAAACAAGCGGACTCCGGAACTCACAGGAACATGAAAAACGGAGCACACAGGAACCGGGAAAACAAACCCGGCCCACCCACACACACACACACACGCAACCTCACCCCGCGTCCATGCACGCAAACGGACACAACCCCACAACACATAGCAAACAAAATATATCACTTGAAAGGAGAACAAACCTCAATGGTAGGTGAATATTTCTCAGGGAACTCAAACACAGGATATTTCTGCTTATAGGCCTTCCATATAAAATACTCCATTTCGGTAGGGGAACGATTCCCCTGCTTCAGGGTGGGCGCATAAACTCATGAATCACTAAATCAGGCGGAAACGGCCGCTCTCTGAGTTGGTCGACAGAAGTCGCATAACGAGGTAGGGGCTGGCAAACCACCTCCGCCGTGGAAGCAGAAGATACCGAAGAAGCGTACGTAGGCCGCCGAGACGGCCTCGCCACCGGATGCACAAGAGAAGGCGAAGGCTGCCGAGACGGTAACACCACACCCGACACCGCAGGAGATGCAGAAGAAACAGCCTGAGACGGGAGAGTCGGTAAAACCGCCGCCGATGAAACAGGGACCGAGGTTGGGGTTACGGAACCCCCAGAGCAAGCAGCCTTTTTCAACACCATAACCAGGTCACCACGCTCACCATGAACCTCATCAGGGGGAACTACCCCACACGAAGAACCGGAACCATCCGACGAGGGCGACGCACCCGAAGCAAGGTCCACAGACACCACACCTGAAGGGAAGTCCGGGACACTGTCACCGTCAGCGGGAGGCACAGGTACTTCTGCCACCACCGTAGAATGTGACGCAACCGGAACCACCCCGCCATCGCAGGAAGATCTAGAGTCACCGAAATCTCCCACATCAACCCAGGCAGAAGAAGAAGAATGCCGGGAACGCTTGGGCTCTGGCCCCACATCATCAGATCCAGAGGCCGACCCAGAGACGCGGCCATCACAAGCCGGGCGAACCGACGCTCTCCCCAGGACGGCAGCATCCTCAACCACATGGGGTACCAGGCCAGGCACAGTAGGAGGCCCTGCATCCACCCCAGCACCCAGCACAGCCGGAACACATGGCGAGGGCGCAGGGACATGCACAGCAGTTGGAGAAGATGAAGACGACGTACAGAGATCCACCGGAAGACCCATGGGACCATCAAGGACACTAACGGGAACAGGCTGATCATCCGAAGGCACCATAATCCCCTGGAAGAAGGGCCACCACAGCAGGAGACACGTAGCGTGCCACAGGCGGGGGCCCCCAGCAGCCAACGGGATGGCCACATCCCCACCCACCAAATCCTCCTCCACAGGGAGCGGTGGAAAATCCTCCTCATGGAAGAGATTCACGGGGGCGATGACAGCCTCAGAACACCCCAGCAGCCTGATGCCCCAGCAGGCCACACCAAAAACATGTCCGCGGTTGATGGGAATAATACTCCCGAATATAATATCCGAGGAGCCGGACAGAATGTCTGCCCTCAGGCGCATCCCCAGGGTCCGAATGTTCGTTCATAAACCCTGGAACTTTCCCGAGAAAAGCTTGTGCAGCCTCAGACTGACGACAGCTCCACACCTCCCTGAAGTAACGCAGCAGGAGGTCCTCCGGAAACTCCAAGGGCGCCCCATAAACACTCACGTACGTCAATGCACCACTCCGATTGGAAATCTCCACAGTGCCGGCACCACCCGGCAGGGGCAAGGATTGCCCCTCGAAGCGCTGGAGAAACGGACAGTACTCTGTGTCCTCCGCAAATTTGACAATTGCTCGATGAGCGGTAACCAGACACGGAGCATGTCACACATTACATGTTCGACCTCAGGATACCCGGCATGGCCAGAAAATTCCAGGCCTACAGAGTGCACACGCACAACAGAGGGAAGAGGACACCCCATCACGGAGCGTCACCGACTAACACTCAAGCACCACTTGATGGCCAATGCAAATTAAATGATATAATGTACTGGTTGCTTACAACTTAATTACTAATTTGCATAAAAACTCCAAACCAGCCAGTGGTTTATATTTTACAATTTAGCTATGTTCAGGCAGTGTTGCACGCTGTACTGACAAAACCTTTTGATTTCATAATTTGTTCCTTACAATTTCTTATCACTCAAGCTTTATCAAAACATTTATAAAGACTAACCCTGGTCATTACCATAAACAGGATAAGCTTAAGCAGGAAATTTATAGAATTTACTTAAACTGCTTTTATTAGCAATTTGACATTGAACCTAGACAGCAAAATAAAATTTTACATTTAATCGTACTTAAATATTTATATTTATTTTAAATTTAAATTAATTTTTAAATCATAATTTAAAAATTTGAAATAGAGTAAATTAAGGAACAGTAAATATGAATCTGCATGCCGAAATTATGAGAAACTGCATAAGAATACATAATGAATTCACAATAACAATACCAGAAAATCTTTGGAGCAAGATATTGGGAGCGACCCACCGTCCTACTCTTAAGATTTTCTCTTATGTCACAATCTCAGATTTTTAGGAGGAAATTACACTGATTTAAGCCAGTAGTGGATTACGTAAGCTCGATAAGTGACCCGGCTTCTGGGCCTATGGCAGACGGACCCTCAGCGGATTTACTTTTATTGTGAGAGTATAACTCAGGTAACAAATGTGCTTGCTGCCTTTGGCTGTTTACTTAAAAAATAACATTCCTCTGTATCCAATAACATTGCTTTGTATCTGTATCGACGGGGGGGGGGGCTATCGCGCCTCTTTAACTCTTGTGAAAGCCTATACCTCCCGCCAACTAGTTTAAGGAGCAGGTTGCCTATGACGGGTGGTGGTCGCTCACCTGGCGGCGGCGGCGTCTCCCTTTGCTACCGCCACACCTCCACACACCCATCACACCAGATGTGGCGACAGAGGCTGCCTTAGGGATCTCTGTGTGGGGGGTAAAAAGGGGGCATAACCTAACTAAGAAATAGCCTGTACCCAGCATATCATTCTTCACTCTTGCTTTCAGGAACAAGCCTGGTTTCCGTGTCTGTAAACTTGTCAAAACTGGGCTCCAACACCTGCTGGAGAGGAGCCTCTTTAACAAGACCCAACCGCTGGAGTCCACGTGGAGACTATCGCAGCATCTGCCATCTATTGGAGTATTCCTCGACTCGAGCGTGACTAAGGACTCACCTCTCGACCTCCAGCACCTGCACTACTCCGGAAATGAGGAAACACCTGTCTCCTGGATGTCGCCGACCATGTATGGAAGCATCGGCATGTTGGGGACGGACGACAGCTACAGGAATCTGGGTCTTGGTAGACTGGTAATCAAGATCATGGGGAGGCTATATGCTAGCCAGGGCTTCATCCCTAACGCCCACGTCAGCTACGACAACCCATCTTCTATAGCAACGTTCAGCAAAATACCAGGCTGGGAAAACACTCACACTGCCGCCTGGATGGCCTTCGAGCAGACAAATGGAATCAGTGAAATATCACAGGACAAAGATCCCCAATTACTATAACAAAATATATTTTATAAGTTCTAAAGGATAACTCATAAAAATAATAATGACAAATAAAAAATTAATCATAATAACAATAATTATTGTCATTATATTAATAATTAATAAACACAAGTCCAATGTAACAAATATTCCTCACTAGCATTGTAGCGAAAAGATTCAGCAAAAAAACAAGATTGTTTAATTCTGCGACAAATTATGTGGAAATTCTGTTTCTCACTTATTTCTCACAAACTGCTTGCCGTTCTTCCCTGGGTTTACTCTGATCTCATCTCGGCGACCAATAAGAACATCCGAGTTATGGAGTTCCCTCGTATTACATATATGTCTGTGTATGCATATATTTGAATATGTTTAGGCAATATTAACGACTCTGTAACTAGCTTCACAATATTGTCACTTACGTAACTAAATGAACTATTGGGTTTGATTCTTGGGCCCTTTATGTACCTCTGTAAACATTTCTACCATCGCCCACGTGATGCTGTTCGAATAATCTCTCTCAGCTGGATATACAGGTGACTATCCTCTTATGATGCCGTTAAGTTCACTATTCCTCGAGTGCCTCCCCCTGTACTTTGGCAGAGCAGGCCATGCTGGCCGCACCTGTCATCCACCACTTCGCTGTAAATACACGCACACACATACTATATTATATATATAAATATATATATATATATATATATATATATATATATATATATATATATATATATATATATATATATATATATATATATATATATATATATATTATTAAATATGACCGAAAAAGTAAGATTAATAATTCTAACACGAATTTTCTCAATCTTTCGTACATTTCTTTTCACTGTTGGAGGTAAATCAAAAATCAATTCTCCAAAATTCATTTTTATTTCTAGTTTGACGCGACACGAGCGCGTTTCGTAAAACTTATTACATTTTCAAAGACTTTAGTTTACAAATGCACAACTGAATAGAACTTACGCATCTCCGATTTTATATCTACATTTGAGTGAGGTGGAAAGGGTGAGGTGGCATTAATAGGGTATTAATTTCATCAACACAAGACAGAACACGAAACAATGGGTATTGAATAGAAGTGTTTGTAGAAAGCCTATTGGTCCATATTTCTTGATGCTTCTATATTGGAGCGGAGTCTTGAGGTGGGTAGAATATAGTTGTGCATTAATTGGCTGTTGATTGCTGGTGTTGACTTCTTGATGTGTAGTGCCTTGCAAACGTCAAGCCGCCTGCTATCGCTGTATCTATCGATGATTTCTGTGTTGTTTACTAGGATTTCTCTGGCGATGGTTTGGTTGTGGGAAGAGATTATATGTTCCTTAATGGAGCCCTGTTGCTTATGCATCGTTAAACGCCTAGAAAGAGATGTTGTCTTGCCTATATACTGGGTTTTTTGGAGCTTACAGTCGCCAAGAGGGCATTTGAAGGCATAGACGACGTTAGTCTCTTTTAAAGCGTTCTGTTTTGTGTCTGGAGAGTTTCTCATGAGTAGGCTGGCCGTTTTTCTGGTTTTATAGTAAATCGTCAGTTGTATCCTCTGATTTTTGTCTGTAGGGATAACGTTTCTATTAACAATATCTTTCAGGACCCTTTCCTCCGTTTTATGAGCTGTGGAAAAGAAGTTCCTGTAAAATAGTCTAATAGGGGGTATAGGTGTTGTGTTAGTTGTCTCTTCAGAGGTTGCATGGCGTTTCACTTTCCTTCTTATGATGTCTTCGACGAAACCATTGGAGAAGCCGTTGTTGACTAGGACCTGCCTTACCCTACAGAGTTCTTCGTCGACTTGCTTCCATTCTGAGCTGTGGCTGAGAGCACGGTCGACATATGCGTTAACAACACTCCTCTTGTACCTGTCTGGGCAGTCGCTGTTGGCATTTAGGCACATTCCTATGTTCGTTTCCTTAGTGTAGACTGCAGTGTGGAAACCTCCGCTCTTTTCCATGACTGTTACATCTAGAAAGGGCAGCTTCCCGTCCTTTTCCATCTCGTAAGTGAAACGCAACACGGAACTCTGCTCAAATGCCTCCTTCAGCTCCTGCAGATGTCTGACATCAGGTACCTGTGTAAAAATGTCGTCAACATACCTGCAGTATATGGCCGGTTTCAAGTTCATGTCGACTAAGACTTTTTGCTCGATGGTACCCATGTAGAAGTTTGCAAACAACTTCTACATGGAACATATAATCTCTTCCCACAACCAAACCATCGCCAGAGAAATCCTAGTAAACAACACAGAAATCATCGATAGATACAGCGATAGCAGGCGGCTTGACGTTTGCGAGGCACTACACATCAAGAAGTCAACACCAGCAATCAACAGCCAATTAATGCACAACTATATTCTACCCACCTCAAGACTCCGCTCCAATATAGAAGCATCAAGAAATATGGACCAATAGGCTTTCTACAAACACTTCTATTCAGTACCCATTGTTTCGTGTTCTGTCTTGTGTTGATGAAATTAATACCCTATTAATACCACCTCTTGTTCTGTCTTGTGTTGATGAAATTAATACCCTATTAGTGCCACCTCACCCCATCCACCTCACTCAAATGTAGATATAAAATCGGAGATGCGTAATTTCTATTCAGTTGTGTATTTGTAAACTAAAGTCTTTGAAAATGTAATAAGTTTTACGAAACGCGCTCGTGTCGCGTCAGACTAGAAATAAAAATGAATTTTGGAGAATTGATTTTTGATTTACCTCCAACAGTGAAAAGAAATGTACGAAAGATTGAAAAAATTCGTGTTAGAATTATTAATCTTACTTTTTCGGTCATATTTAATAATATATGTCTACAGGAAAGACTGCTACCAAAATATACTAATATATATATATATATATATATATATATATATATATATATATATTTATATATATATATATATATATATATATATATATATATATATATATATATATATATATATATATATATATATATAAAGTATAAAAATATTCCATAATAATCTATTAACTTTTAAATAAAAATAAACAAATACTAATACAAAATTGATAATGTGAAAACAAAAAAAACACTAAAAAGCAAACTGAAATGCTCATGAATGATTAAATTGTGTATATATCACTAGGGTTAAGTCTCCAATCTTGGTACATTGGCACTGAAAAATCTAGAGCGACTGTGCACGTCCATAGAAAAAAGAAAACGAAACTACAAACATATCGAGAACTCTCTGAATATGCTCTAAAATTATATTGAAGAATGTCGGGTATCTAATGGAAGCCTATTACAATACATATTATAATGTTAATCTTTCCATGGGCCTCCAGCCTGGTGCCTTCTTTTGATAATTTCTTACTTTTCATGGGCCGTGAGAAAAATAAAATCAAAGTATATTTTGTGTTACATTTAAGGTGCTAAACCTGATATATTTTCCAATTTTGTTTTCAGGCTTATGTACTGAAAACAAATAACATTTTTGAGCTATAGGGTCACATAAGGCTAGACACCTGGAAAGTTGCGTAATGGGCAACTGTGTCCAAAAAAAACTACCATACTTAACAGTTTCTGGTCTCGAGATACCAAAACCAAGTCCTGTATCTCCAAATCAATTGAAAATGCCACCGACGCAAGCCAACTACAGCATGCTACTAATGTCTACAAATAAATACTGTACCAGACTTCAGTGCTTAGTGGTTCTCACGGTCATGTGATATCATGATTTCTGTAGTTGACTTCTGTATGCGTTATGGAACTGTACTGTAGTTTCAGGGAAAGCTAGTGGTGTGTAACAGACAATGGTATGAAAGATTGATAAAAAAGATGAAGACACTCGTATCCCTGTTCACTACATGGATACAGGTTCAATGAGGCTGCGGTACTTCTATACAGGATAATTTAACAGCATAATGTAACTTTTGTCGTCAGGCTAGCTTTTTGATACTGTATTCCCCTTCATATAGTCTAGGGTAGCTGCATAAAGGCAGATGTACCTAATGTATTAATAATAATAATAATAATAATAATAATAATAATAATAATAATAATAATAATAATAAAGGCCAAAACCCATAAAAACTTAAAAATAAGTGAAGTGGAATGTTCTCAAATAATTAACATCATGCTCACTGTCTACACACACATTCAACTTGGTATATAATGAATAATGAAGAGTTAAAATCCTTTTCTAATGTGCCAGAGTAACCTATTAAGCGGATGCCTAATTTTCTTGACCAGTCTACTGGCCATCATGGGGATATGAAATCCATAGTTTGTGAGTAGGTCTTTCATTCTTTATAACTTGAGATGGTCCATGGTTTCATAGGTTACCCTATGTGTGAAATAACATTATGTCTGCTCTACATTGAAGCTAGATAAATGTGAAACTGTTACCTCTTGTGAGAGTCGCATTAAACACTTTAAAGTTAAGTACTGTAGCTGGACTTGGGATCTTAAAACTTGTTCATGATTTGTCACAATAAGATTAACCTTTATGTGTCTTGTTTGCGGAATTTTTAGTTCTATGACCTGCAGCCTTAACTAGTATGGGAGATGATTATGATCCTCTCAGATCCTCATCCTCTGGGATGATGATGATCATCACTTCTGGGATAATTTTCGTCACTGATAGTGAAAGAACAACTGAATTTAGAAGAATTAATATTCGACTAATTATAAATTATTAATTTATTTAATTCTTATTAATTAAGAACTATTAATTTTTTTATTATGCACCCCCATACCTATCGCGCGTAAGGCACCACGGGCTCACCATAGCCCGTGTTACTTGAAACTTTTTGTTTCAGGTAGCGAATCTTTAACAACAACTATCCCGTGGGCGGTGGTGGAAAGGGTTACAGAGGCACATGATCAGGCAAGGGGAAATTCACACCAGTTACTCCCTCTATCATCATTATATTATGCAGGAAGAACCACACGTCTACGGGTCATCCAATAAGGAGTTTACAACATCTACTGATGTAGATTTGACTAAATGTAAACTCTGTCAGCAGAACTATTCGCATCCTTTGCGTCATTTCATAATGACAAGTGAAAAAATTGCGGAATTCAGAGATAACACGATCAATGGAGTCCAAGAAATGTGTAAGTACCTCATTCATAAGAATAAACACTATTCTCATGTAGTGTTAGTTCATTCACTATACACGCATACCATTCCTGTGGGAGTGGAAAAGTTTTTTTTTATTAATATATTAGGTACATCTGCATTTGGGCAGCTACCCGAGACTATGAGAAGGGGAGTACAGTGTGTCAAAAAGCTAGCTACATTGTACTAAAAGATCCCCATCACACAAGATGGTTAGTCATACAGAGGCATGTGATAAGTTAGTGGAAGAGCTTGCAGAGCCACATATAATTGCCTACGAAACTGACCACCTTAATTCATTGGAAGCTTTCCTAAACACATCTCATGGTAGTC